CGAATTTACGAAATAGCGTCGCTCGTAATCGCTTATCGACGACGATGACGAAGCGGCACCGTGATCGCGACACGATCGTTCCAGCAAGTACGTCGAAGCTAATGTGTTTTCGCAACGTTGCAGCATACATCGTAGTCGCACAAGGACAGTACCGATCGCTCGTCTCGCTTTATCTCGCGCGACAGACGAGACAGATCGACGATTGCCAACTCGAGCAAATGATGTACCGATCGCGCAAACAGAGATTCTGCGTTCTTGTCGTCGCGGACGGCGTCGCTGCCGCCGAACAAGTAACCGTCGCGTCAGAGCAATCGAACGCTACCGGATAACATATTATACGATCGCACATTTTGTATCTGTCGTCGTAGCGAACGATGCGCAACCATTTGGCTCGTCCGTGCAGTTCGCGCGCTTTCGTCAGTACGCACGGTGGCGGCCGCTGCGGCGACGATGTCTCACCGAATCGATCCTGATGCAAGCTGAGATTCTCGTAGCGAATATTGCGCACCGTCAATTCGCACGCCAGTATCAGCGCGAACGGACGTAAACAATCGATCGAGTTTGAACCGCAGGCCAAACTGGTCGACGAGATTGCTTGTCGACGAGTGGTGTTGGTCAGCATCAATAGCACAATCAGTCGATTGTTTCGATCTACGCGCAAAAGACACTGTCGCGTCTCGCGTCGATGCTCATTACTATCGAGTCGATGACTCCGTTGTGTTACGTCCCGGTCGGCCGCGGTTGCGATGCTAGGCTGCAGGTGCTCGGGCCTGGACGCGGGGCTAGATCGCAATTTTTTGGTCAAACGAATCGCGTGATTCTCCCCAGGGATACGCGCGATCTGTCGGGCTCGACACGATGTTCCGCGGAGTATAGAGCAAATGGCACTCACCAGTTCCTTTAATCCAATGTAATAATCTGGCACACCTGTGTCATGGAGTTGCGCACGTGCCCACGAAGCTGTTCGAGGGTCGGAGTTTTCTCGTTACAGGTGCGGAGGGTGTGAGGCGGGGTAGATGCTCCGTAGTAGTAGTGCAGGATCTCTGCACGCAGTTGACGGTAGAAAGCAGGCCTCGGATCTCGTGGCGAGAATCCGCGTCGAATGATCGGTAGTCGCGGATGGGTGTCACAATCGATCTTGCTAACACTGTATGATTTGCGGGCGGTAGCTTTCGGGCGCTCTGGCACGGGCGACTGAGGAGATTCTGGAGAGCGAGGGGGTTCAGTGGAACGAGGATGCCCCTTGTCGGGAGCGGAGTTGGTGGGTTCGACACCTAGGTAAGGGTGGTACGCTTGTCCGTGCTTTAGTTGGTATTCTAATTTTTTGATGAATTTCTTACGACCACCCCTGCGTACAGGGCGCATTTGGAATCACTCCCGTGACTCCGGCCAGCTGTATTCGTGTGGTTAATTCGGAGTTCCCTATTCTGTCAGGCGGTGCGATCGGGTCGCAACCTATGCGCCTTCGAGTAACTAGTAGACGGTGCGATCGAGCCGCAACCTGTGCGTCTACGGATGGGCGGTGCGATCGAGCCGCAGCCTATACGCCCCTATTCTAGTGATGCGAATACCTTGAAGAATCGGCGGCCAGTTATCAGCTAGGCGATTCCAATGCGTTAGCGGTCGGGGATGGGAGGAGATGGGAGAGTGAATCTAACCTTGAATCGGCTAACAAGAGTATATTTTAACTAAATGAATACACGAAAATATTCTAAGTTAGATTTAGTGAAAATATTCTAAGTTCGTATTCACGAAAATATTCTAAGTTAAAACTCACGAAAATATTCTAAGTTAAAACTCACGAAAATATTCTAAGTTAGATTTAGTGAAAATATTCTAAGTTAGATTTAGTGAAAATATTCTAAGTTCGTATTCACGAAAATATTCTAAGTTAAAACTCACGAAAATATTCTAAGTTAAAACTCACGAAAATATTCTAAGTTAGATTTAGTGAAAATATTCTAAGTTCGTATTCACGAAAATATTCTAAGTTAAAACTCACGAAAATATTCTAAGTTAGATTTAGTGAAAATATTCTATGTTCGTATTCACGAAAATATTCTAAGTTAAAACTCACGAAAATATTCTAAGTTAAAACTCACGAAAATATTCTAAGTTAGATTTAGTGAAAATATTCTAAGTTCGTATTCACGAAAATATTCTAAGTTAAAATTCACGAAAATATTCTAAGTTAAAACTCACGAAAATATTCTAAGTTAAAACTCACGAAAATATTCTAAGTTAGATTTAGCACTTATACTAGACCCTAGGAGGGATGGAGGAAGCACTGCACCAGATCACTGCACGACTGAGACTGCTTCTCGGGCGCTCCGCGGTCCCTGAGCTGCGGCTTTCCCGAGCCGCCGAATTTTCCTCTGGAGTGGGAAGGTAGTGGGGGTTTGGAAATTAGAACTTAGAAAATTTCGGCGCGGAGGGACTTAGAAAAATTCTCGGCCGAGGGACTTAGAAAAGTTTTGGGTTGAGGGACTTAGAAAAATTTAGGGTCGAGGGACTTTGAAAAATTTTGGGTTGAGGGACTTAGAAAAATTTAGGGTCGAGGGACTTAGAAAAATTTTGGGTTGAGGGACTTAGAAAAATTTATGTTCGAGGGACTTAGAAAAGTTTTGGGTTGAGGGACTTAGAAAAATTTTGGGTTGAGGGACTTAGAAAAATTTAGGGTCGAGGGACTTAGAAAAATTTAGGGTCGAGGGACTTAGAAAAATTTTGTGGTGATCCCAGGGAAAGAAGAGAGAGAGAAAAAAAATTTTGTGTGGTGCTTCCTCTTACAATTGGTAGTGCGGATGTGACACCTCCCCCCTTATTAGAAAATGTCGGTCGTCATTGAACCGACGTTTTCTGGAGATATGTATATATGTACTTATTCTAAATGTCGCTTTAATGTCTGGTTTGGCGTATTTCGCTCAGATAATTATTTAGTTCGCTGTAACTTTTTGTTGGGGCACTTGCAATTCGCGCTTCACTTTCACTGTTAGTGTCTCGTGCGTTGTCGGCTGCCTCGGTTTTGGGATGTACTAATACTTCCAAGGCTGCTTCTTCTTCTCTGGGCTGTTCGTTCTGTTGGGTCTTCCCGCGTCCTCCAAGGTGGATCAGCAGGTGGGTGAGTGAGCTCCAGATTGCGCCTAATAGGTGGAGGCTCCATCCGTATATCGAGTGGAGTGCGTAGCCTCTTATAATGGAGTCGACTACCAATTTGGCTAGTCGGATCAGGAGTATGATGCTCAAGATGCCTGCGCTCGCTGAACCGAATGTGATGAAACCTTTCCATAGGCGTGCTCCTGCGCTCTCGGCGATTTTTTCCAGAGATTCTTCGTCCAGCATATTATACAGGGAGATGGTTCCGGCTGGGACCTTTCTTCCCATGGCTCCTTGTGCTAAGGTGCTGATGATTGCAGGTTTCTCCACTGGGAACATTATGTGGTTCCTGAGTCGGTCTAGGTCGTCGGCGGAGTATATTCCGCTGGTCGCCAGGTCGGAAGGGTTTATGTACTTCCAGGTAGGCTTGGTAAGAGGTCGGATTACGGGAGGTGCGATTGATTCCACTGGTCGTGGCATCATTTTATACCAGGCCTCCTCGATATTGTACATCGGAGGTAACAACTCGTTGCATTCCCTCGGTGTGCCGGATTTGGTAAGGATGCGTGAGCGCGGTGTCAGGAAATATGAGGCGTTGTTGTAAGTTACTGGAAGTTCGTTGTAGCAACGCTCTGCTTGGCGGATTTTGCACGTGACTGGGATACATTTAATTATATATATGACTTCTCCGGAGGTCACTGCCGTGTATCCGTGGCTTTTCATTAGGCGGTGCGCCATTTCGTCCGGGGCGATGCTAGATAAGGATAGTGCGTTTTCTAGGATTTGTCTTTCCAGCGCGCATTTCTGTATCATGATGTCCTTGTAGAGTTTCGTCAGTTGGTTTTTCATGTGACGTTCGATGTAGACAAATTTGGAGTTCACGTAGGCGAACATGTCTAGGTTGTCTATTGCGATATTGGATTTTTCCTTGAAAGTCCGTCCTCTCGAGGTTTCGAGAATGAAGAGTTTTGGGTGTTCTGTGTGCATGATTTTGTACCCGCAGAGGTTTGATTCTGAGGTTTTGGCGAGGGCGAATGTTGCATCGTTGTTAGTAACTGTGTAGATGGTGGGTCCATCCCCTTGTCCGGGTGAAGGGGATAGTTTGTGCGCGAAGCCTTCGTAAAGTATATCGTATCTGTCGAAATTACAATTATCCTTGGGTGTGGATTTCCAGTATGTAGTGGTCCCGTCGGCGTCGAGGCATTCCCGGCTGGTGGCTTTGCAGCGGATTCCCGAAGGTAGTATGACTTCGTTGGCCATTATTTTGATGGGGACCAGGAAGTCTCGTAAGGTTATCCGGACGCTAGCCTGGACAATGGCGTTTTCCCACGTTCCGAATGGGTCAGTATAGGCGGCTCCTTGACAGGCGCCGTCGTTTTGTAGTGATCCAGCGAGGGTCAGACTCCGTGACGTAGTTGAGTTTCTTTTTAAACCGTCAATTAGGATATCGTTTCCCAAAATGATAGCTCCTGTTTCCTGGGACTTCCTGCAGGCTTCTTCGGAGATTTCTCTTATATAGCTCCGTTTTCCTCCGGGGACAGTGGATACATGGGACCACATTCCACAGCGGTAGATTATGCGGTCGACTTCTAGGCGGCATTGAATGGCCTCGGTGTGGGTGAAGTCGTTGAATTGCATTAGCTGTAGATAGACCTCTTCTTTCTTAGGTTCGACGTCGTCAACGTGGCATTCGGCAATGTCGGTTAATGAGAGCGATGTAATGTTTAATCCTTCTCCTCCACAGTCGTATCCCAGGAGGGAGGTTGCAGGCTCGGTTCCGAAGGCAGCGAAGAGGGCGAGGGCTATCAGGAGGTGCATCCTGGTGCGAGGCTCGTGGTGTACTGATGTGTGCCCTTCGTCGCGTCGTTCTGCCTTGTGTCCTGGTGTTAGCAGTGGGGGTTGCTAGCCTATGGTCGGAGAGGGGGGCCTTTGGCCTTATCTAGACGCAACTTATTACTATGGACGATTTTCGTCTGGTTTTCGCTTATACTAATGCGTATGTTATTATTTCGTAATACTTCTAGTACTCGGTATGGGCCCGAGTATTGGTCTCCTAGCTTACCCTTGCTGGGTTCTTTTAGTAAGTACACGCAGCTTCCTACTCTGAAGTTCTGAGGGTTTAAGTTTCGATCATAGTAGCGTTTGCTACGGGCCTTGGCTCCGCAGAGATTCTCGCGAGCGAGTTCCTGTGTGGTTTTTAGGCGATTGAACAGCGTAGTTAAGTAATCCTTGTATGTTTCGCTTAAGTTATCCTCGATAGGTGGGTCGCTAGACGGTGTTCGCACACTTTTCCCGAAGACTAGCTCGTGTGGCCTATAGGAGGTCCCTTCGTGCACGCTTGAGTTATACGAGAACATTGCGAGATTAAGGAATTCGTCCCATTCGTGTTGCGTATTGGTGTATTGCTTCAGATATTCCCACAAGACGTGGTGGCTGCGTTCTATGAACCCGTTTGATTGTGGGTGGTACGCGGTAGTCTTGCACTGGTTGATCTTAAATTTTCGGGCCACAGCCTTGATGAGGCTGTTAATGAAGTGAGAGCCTTGGTCGGTTAGAACTGCTTTTGGTGCGCCGTATAGGCAGATGAAATTGTTTACGAACGCGTCTGCTACGTCTAACGCGGAGGCTTGTCTCAGCGCGATGGCGGTGGAGTGTTTGGTTAGTAGGTCTTGTATTGTGAGGATGTAGGAATTGCCGGAGGAAGTGGTGGGGAGTGGGCCCATGATATCCATTGAGATTTTCTCGAACGCTTCCTTTGGGGTGTCCGTGATGACCATGGGCTGCTTTGTTTTTACTCTTACTAGTTTCTTTAATTGGCAACTTCTGCAGTTGCGGATGAATTCCTGTATTTCTTCCTTCAAATTGGGCCATTGATATTTTTCCTTGATGCGCAAGTACGTCTTTGTCACTCCTTTGTGTCCTCCGATCATGCTGGAATGGCATTCCTCTAGAATCCTTCTCCTATCTCCCGGGGGTGGTACTTGAATTTGGTTGTTGCATAGGAGGATTTTGGTCGGGTCGCCCTCAAATGTTTGTTGCAGCAGGTTGCGGATGGTGTCGGAAGGTACGTTTTCTAAGTCGCCCTTGCATAGTGACACGGAGTTGAGTTGAAGCTCTTGACAGACATCTCGTAGGGATTGTATGGCCTCGCGAAGGATCTCTATGTCTAGTTGCGTGATTTTACGCTCTTTGATCACCAGGGATATGATTTTTGGTTCCTTCTCCGTCGTTACACTCGCTCTTCCCAGTGTTTGGCTGCGTAACGCAGGTAGCAAGTCATGTTCCTGGAGCAGTCTAGCTCCTTTATCGCAGGGGTCGCCCTTTTGGGTGACGAATACGGCCTTGTGGTCCTTTCGCAATAGGAAATTGTCTTTGATCTCGGTTATATTTTCGTTACGCAGTACGTATGGTTCATTTACTTGATCGAATATCTCGGTTTCTGGGCTGGACGCGCTGTCTGTTGTACTGCTGTCATCGGTGTCGGTTTCTGAGTCGTCGGGGTGATCGTCGTGGTGATCGTCGGGGTCGTGTGCGTCTGGCGGTTGGTCTCGCGAATTCTCTTCTCGTCGTTGTTGGTCGGGTCGCGGGGAAAAGATGGATTCATCGGAACTGGAGACGTCAAGTTCAGGGGCGAGGGGGAATAGGCGTATTTCGGCGGGGTTCCTGGACAAGGCGTCTGCGTTAGCATTAACTTTACCTGCTTTGTATGTGACTTCGTACTCGTATTCGAGAAGTTTTAATCGCCAACGGACTAATCTCGAGCTCGGATCTTTCACAGAATGCAGCCACACTAGTGGTCTGTGGTCCGTGACCAGGTTGAATTTGCGACCGTAGAGGTAGGGACGGAAATGTTGTACACAGTACACTATGGCTAAGAGTTCCTTCTCGATTGTCGAGTAATTTTGTTCCGCTGCGTTTAAGAGTCGAGAGGCGTATGCGATGGGGAGATCTTTGCCTATCTGTCCCTGACTGATTATACCGCCTATCGCATATCCGGACGCATCCGTGGTGACGACGAACGGTCTAGTAAAGTCCGGGTATTGTAAGATCGGCTCCGTGCATAACGAGTTGCGGAGCGAGACAAATGCGTGTTCTTGTAGCTCGTTCCACGTGAATTTGGCGTCTTTTTTCAACAGGGATGTTAGTGGTCTAGCTATTTTGGAGAAATTTTGTATGAAGCGCCGGTAGTAACCGGCTAGGCCTAAGAATTGTTTTATGTTTTTCGCGTTTCTTGGCCGTGGGAAGTCTTTAACCGCGATAATTTTCTTAGGGTCGGGCTTTACCCCGTTTTCCCCTATTACGTGTCCGAGATAGGATACCTCCTTTCGCAGGAACTCGCATTTGTCCGGTTGTAGATGAAGATTCGCGACGCGTAAGCGTTGTGCTAGCTTCGCAAACTTGGCTGAGTGCTCTTCGAGTGAGCTCGCGTATATAACAATGTCGTCGAGGTAGACGAACAGTTCGGTTCCTTGCAGGCCGGTCAGAACTTGATCCATGAGGCGTTGAAAGGTAGCTGGCGCGTTTTTCAGACCGAATGGCATTCTATTGAATTGATAGTGCCCATGGGGCGTGGAAAAGGCTGTTTTTGGCGCATCGTCCTCATGCATCGCGATCTGATGGAAGCCTGAAGCGAGGTCGAATATACTGAAATATTTCGCGCTGCCGAGTTGGTCGAGTATTTCGGTTATGTTGGGGAGCGGATACGCGTCTCCCACGGTTTTTTCGTTTAGCGCTCTATAGTCTATTACCATTCGCCAACGCTTGTTACCTTGGGTGTCGGCCTTTTTGGGCACAATCCACAAGGGGGAGTTGTATGGTGAGTTCGAAGGTTTGATAACCTTGTTTTTTAGCAAATCTTGAATTTGTTTATCAATTTCCTCCTTGTGTATTGGCGGATATCTATACTGTTTGGTGTTAATTGGAGTGTTGTCGGTGGTAGTTATTCGATGTTTGGTCGCTGAGGTACATTGTAGTTGTTCGTCGGGTAGGTGGAACAAGTCGCTGAATTCGTTCAGTAGTTCTTTTACGTTTTTTACTTCGGGCTCGTTCAAATGGTCAAGGCGCAGCAGGTTTAGGAGCCTCGAGCGTCGAGTGTCTCTTTGTTTATACGTGTCTGTTGCATCATCGACCGCTGTGCTTGAGAGCATGTGTTGTGTGTCGCGAGGTTCGCCTGGAAGGCCTAGGCGTTCGGGCGTATTCGCTTGGGAGACAAAGGGCTGTTTTGTTTTGTGGCGAGGCGCAGGCACGTCAGTCCCTAGGGTAGGCGTGCGTGCGCGTTGGATCCCTTTATCTCTGGCCGGGGAGCCCCCGAGTTCCGGTTGACGCGACGTCGAGGGGTCTCCGGTTAATATCTCTACTTCCTCTAGTTCGACCGTAGGAATAGGGAGTTTGCATTCCGTTTCTCCGGCGTTTACGATTCCTACATACGCTAAACCGTTTCGATTTGACACGACGGCGTCTCCTAGGAACACGTCGTCGCGAATTGTAATTCGAGGGATATACCCTTCCCTAGGGCTTGGGTTTAGGATTTTAAGCGGCAATACCCCGCGCGTTCTCGCCGGTACGGTAACCAACGTATTATTCGAAAGAGGAATGGGCACTCCTTGCCACGTGAGAATTTGGTTTTTGAAGTCGATGGACCCCGCGTCCTTTAGGAAGGCGGATCCTAGGATTCCTTCCTGTGCGATTGGGAAATCGTCGTTGATTACATGGAGTTTAATAGGGAAACCCATGTATTTAATAGTAATAGACCCCAGAGTGGGGATGCTTCCCGCGGTGATCCCTTTTAAGAGTAGCGTGTCGATGGGATCTATTTCGTTATTTCGAGTTAGTGTTCCCTTTTTTATTAAATTTGGCGCGGCCCCGGTGTCGATCATGAAGGTTATCGTGTCCGTTAGGCCATCAGCCTTCATTGTAACTGTGGGGGCGTATGAAAATTCGCGGGGGTTTAGGACCGCGATTCTTGCTGAGGTGAATCTTCCACTGTTATATTGCGTATCGGACGAGTGGGTGTCTGAGAGCTTCCCGCTCGGGGTGCGTCCGTATTCCCCGAGGGGCGTGCGGCGTTTCCCTGGTCCCGTCGCGAATTGTTGTATTGGCGTTTACGACATTCTTCGATCTCGTGCCCGATGTTCTTACAATAGCGGCACCATTTTGTGTTCCGGTCCGTCATCGAATTTCGAGGTCGCGGCGGAGGTGGCGAAAATCGAGGGGCTGGGGGTGTTCGGTTATGCCAAGCATGAGGGCCCCTGGGATCAGCGTAGTCCCTGGCGGGATTGTTCCTAGACGCGGGTGTTGATCCGTTGCGATTCGTGTTGGGACCATACCCGGGCTCGTGTTTGATCGGAGTCGAATGAGCAATCGGTTTGTCAATTATGCGTACGTCGTTGGATCGTGGTCGTACGTTATTCCGGCGCGCGGCGTCTTCTCGTTCCTGGTCGAGTGTATCCCGCCTCGCGAGTGACTTAGCGAACGCGAATGCCTCGAATGGTTTACGGTAGTGCTCGGGTCTTAGCAAGTAACGATACTGTCGCGGCAGTCCATCGCAGAATGCGTACGCGGTTGCTTCGTCGATTTGTCTAATTAGTTTTTCGTCTAACATCCCTCTTTCCATGCGTTCGCATTCTAGCACGGATGCGCGAAGTTCCTTTACGCGGATGACATAGTCTGTCATGTCCTCGTTGGGATCTTTGAACACGGTATAGAGTTCGCCTTTACAGTGATAGATTGATTTACTAGAGCCAAAGGTGGCTCTTAACGCGTCGAGGAGCTGCGTGACCGAATCGCATGGTTCGTCCTCTATCGCGGCGTAGGCCTTCCCTCGCAGTCGGTTGACGAGGAGGCGTGCGAGGTTTCGTTCGGCGGACGGGGGAACGATGTCTCTAGCGCGTCTACAGGCTCGCGCGAATTGCGCGTAACTCACGTTGTATCCGTCGTAGTGTGGTACCGATTCGAGCGCGTCCTTGAATGTTACACGGGGGATCTCGAGGGAGTAGTCATGCTGGAGGCTATGAGGCACACTAGTGGCGTCGAAGTAGGGGGCGATAGGGGGTGACGGTCCGTCTTTTGGAGGTTCCCGCTGGAGTGAGGCTATGTCGCGCAACATTTCTTCGTTAATGGGGCCTTGGTCGGCTGTACGGTCGTGCGATGTTTCTCTACGCGACATTTCCGATTCGCGGTCGTGGAGGGCGGCTTCCCTCTGTTCGATGCGTCGCCGAGCAAGCTCGCGTTCTCGTTCAAATGATTCGCGTTCCCTACGCACCGCGTCGGATTCTCTTTGTACTTGCAGTTCCTTTTCCCGGATGTGCTGAGACAGAAGTTCTGCTTCTTCCTTACTGTAGATCTCATCCGGTTTGTCGGGTTTATCGGTCTTTTTACTACGAGTCGCCATCGGGGCGGATGATTTTGTTTCAATCGCGTTTCAGTAGCGGTAATCCAGTGGGTTTGCTTAATTAATCGCGGGGTTCGCGTCGTGAGCCCTTTTCGTATCCCACCGCTGTCACCAATTTTATGTTACGTCCCGGTCGGCCGCGGCTGCGATGCTAGGCTGCAGGTGCTCGGGCCTGGACGCGGGGCTAGATCGCAATTTTTGGGTCAAACGAATCGCGTGATTCTCCCCAGGGATACGCGCGATCTGTCGGGCTCGACACGATGTTCCGCGGAGTATAGAGCAAATGGCACTCACCAGTTCCTTTAATCCAATGTAATAATCTGGCACACCTGTGTCATGGAGTTGCGCACGTGCCCACGAAGCTGTTCGAGGGTCGGAGTTTTCTCGTTACAGGTGCGGAGGGTGTGAGGCGGGGTAGATGCTCCGTAGTAGTAGTGCAGGATCTCTGCACGCAGTTGACGGTAGAAAGCAGGCCTCGGATCTCGTGGCGAGAATCCGCGTCGAATGATCGGTAGTCGCGGATGGGTGTCACAATCGATCTTGCTAACACTGTATGATTTGCGGGCGGTAGCTTTCGGGCGCTCTGGCACGGGCGACTGAGGAGATTCTGGAGAGCGAGGGGGTTCAGTGGAACGAGGATGCCCCTTGTCGGGAGCGGAGTTGGTGGGTTCGACACCTAGGTAAGGGTGGTACGCTTGTCCGTGCTTTAGTTGGTATTCTAATTTTTTGATGAATTTCTTACGACCACCCCTGCGTACAGGGCGCATTTGGAATCACTCCCGTGACTCCGGCCAGCTGTATTCGTGTGGTTAATTCGGAGTTCCCTATTCTGTCAGGCGGTGCGATCGGGTCGCAACCTATGCGCCTTCGAGTAACTAGTAGACGGTGCGATCGAGCCGCAACCTGTGCGTCTACGGATGGGCGGTGCGATCGAGCCGCAGCCTATACGCCCCTATTCTAGTGATGCGAATACCTTGAAGAATCGGCGGCCAGTTATCAGCTAGGCGATTCCAATGCGTTAGCGGTCGGGGATGGGAGGAGATGGGAGAGTGAATCTAACCTTGAATCGGCTAACAAGAGTATATTTTAACTAAATGAATACACGAAAATATTCTGAGTTAGATTTAGTAAAATATTCTAAGTTCACATTCATAAAAATATTCTAAGTTAAAACTCACGAAAATATTCTAAGTTAGATTTAGTGAAAATATTCTAAGTTCGTATTCACGAAAATATTCTAAGTTAAAACTCACGAAAATATTCTAAGTTAAAACTCACGAAAATATTCTAAGTTAGATTTAGTGAAAATATTCTAAGTTCGTATTCACGAAAATATTCTAAGTTAAAACTCACGAAAATATTCTAAGTTAGATTTAGTGAAAATATTCTAAGTTCGTATTCACGAAAATATTCTAAGTTAAAACTCACGAAAATATTCTAAGTTAAAACTCACGAAAATATTCTAAGTTAGATTTAGTGAAAATATTCTAAGTTCGTATTCACGAAAATATTCTAAGTTAAAACTCACGAAAATATTCTAAGTTAAAACTCACGAAAATATTCTAAGTTAAAACTCACGAAAATATTCTAAGTTAGATTTAGCACTTATACTAGACCCTAGGAGGGATGGAGGAAGCACTGCACCAGATCACTGCACGACTGAGACTGACTCTCGGGCGCTCCGCGGTCCCTGAGCTGCGGCTTTCCCGAGCCGCCGAATTTTCCTCTGGAGTGGGAAGGTAGTGGGGGTTTGGAAATTAGAACTTAGAAAATTTCGGCGCGGAGGGACTTAGAAAAATTCTCGGCCGAGGGACTTAGAAAATTTTGGTTGAGGGACTTAGAAAAATTTAGGGTCGAGGGACTTAGAAAAATTTTGGGTTGAGGGACTTAGAAAAATTTAGGTCGAGGGACTTAGAAAAATTTTGGGTTGAGGGACTTAGAAAAATTTATGTTCGAGGGACTTAGAAAATTTGGGTGAGGGACTTAGAAAAATTTTGGGTTGAGGGACTTAGAAAAATTTAGGGTCGAGGGACTTAGAAAATTTAGGGTCGAGGGACTTAGAAAAATTTTGTGGTGATTCCAGGGAAAGAAGAGAGAGAGAAAAAAAAAATTTTGTGTGGTGCTTCCTCTTACAATTGGTAGTGCGGATGTGACAGTTGCCGCAGTCGGTGAATACGGGCGTCTTAGTGCAGCGTTCGCAGACACTGCATTAATCGAGTCGAGGTGTCGGTAAAGATTTGCTCGGTTCGCAGGGTCAAGCAAGAAACATTTCGTTCGACTCGAAGGGTTGTCGAAAGTCGCGTTTAATGCGCAATCGCGCGGACAGTTCGAAAATCGCTGATTCCATTGAATTTCACTCGGTCAGCTCCAGTACGTAGAAGAGGCTCCAGGAGTTGCCGAGCCAGCCAAAAGTATACGACTCGATTTCATCGGAACGATCCGTAGACGAAGCCACCGTTGTGTCGCAATCCGATCGTTTGCGCCACGCGGCAGCCAATCGCGGCCATTTCGACGGTCGCCGCATCGGTCGATGCGCATGCGCTCTCCACAGATCGATGCGAAAACGATGAGCACTTCTGCCGTGACCGCAGAAACTCTTGCAGCTCACCGACGAACGCCAAGGTCAGCGCCCCGCGCGTCCGTCTATCGAGCGAAAATCCGGATTTTCGAGAGCGTCTGATTCATCGTCCGTCGTCTGCTTCCGCCGCCAATCGGTGTCGTATCAGCGAAGTGGCGCGAAAAGCGAACACCGCGCTCGTCCCGTTGTCGTTGCCCTCGGAGCAGCGACGCCGCTCACTGAGACAAAGTGACGCTCGAGCAGAGGATAGTAGTGCGTCAATAGTCGGCGATTGATGTCGAGCACGCCAATAGGTGAAGTCGTTACCGAAGCACACCCGAACTAGAGCACAGTATCGCAACACGT